CATGTTTCGTGTATTATTTCTTTGTTGCTTCATTTGCGAAAGAATTCAGTTCTCACCTTAGTATTCTCGATCTCGAGAGCGATTATTTTATTCTTATTTTCGTAAACATCCAAAGAAGCCGAACACGATTTTGTATTGGCAGTCACTCGCATTAACTTCGTCGCTAATCGTTTTATTTTATCTTCCTGCCGGTTAGCAAGCTTTTTTAAGTTATGCGCCTCCTCGAGTAATCGTAAATATTTGTCCTCTAACTCGCAACGATCGAGTTTGCCCACGATGTGTCGTTCCCTGGGATCTTCGATCATTTTTAAAATGCAAATTACTATCAATTACAACAAAGCTTTCCAATACCTACTACGCGATTCTTATAGAGTTTCTCGTGCCAAAGACAAATCTAAAAGCATAAATGTCCTAACGAAATAATAACGGTGTGTGTAAAAATGCATGATTTTGGAGAAAATTAGGGATTACATAAAAACTGAGAATGCGAAAGAGTTCATTTTTAATCAACAGATAGCGGAGACTTTCCACAGTGTATCTCTATAAGAATCTCATAATGGATATTGCAAAAAATGAAAAAAGTATTTTTTAGATTGAGTCTTGTGTACATGCTATACTTAATGAAGAGGAACAAGTAACAGATACAGACCTATGCTACTACGGCAAGTATCCGCGTAAGAACCTTCCTTCACCGGTAAAATGTCTCGATTTGGATCGTCTGCCATGATTTTAGAATTCTATTAAACTACCTATAAATTATTCAAAATTCCTACATTTAGAATGACAAGGAAACTTGTGGATTAAAAATATCGAAGATTTATAATTATTAGACACTAACACCTAAGAAACATCAAGTCGTTAAATCCCACGTTAGAAATGTTATTCAATTTTTTAATATCTACGAATATTTATAGCCATTACTCTAAGTGAAAAATTATGATGAATTTTGAATAGGAACGCGCGTTCCTTTAAAGTCCTTTTTGCTCTCGTTTCGAGAGCTGTTCAAATTTTAGCGGGCGAATCGACATATCCGGCGGGCGATGAATCACACGAATGGTTTCTTGCTACGAGACTTTATAAGAACGAATAGAAATATCTTGATAAAACGCGTTATCAGCCTTTATAACGATTTCTCACAAACACGAATTGACGTAGCGAAATGTATATAAATATTTATTTTCTCTTTTAAATGTTACCGTCCTTTAAATAATTTAATATTATCAATTATATTTTACTTTCCATATTTTATATGCTTTTTACATATGCATATCCTGTGTTTCTTTAGATCTGTTTAAAATTTCCACAAATGCGTAGAATCTAAAGTCTAAGTATTATTATTGCGTACTAAATTATACATGGAGGAGTGCTACGAAATAAATTTATATATAAAACCTAATAAAGGGAAAGGAAATGAAATATTCATGCTTATACACTAGCGATTTTGCAATTAGACAAATAACATTTATTTGCAGTACACATCACGCTTGCGTCTTGATTGCATGTTTCGTTCGAGCACATAATGAGAGGAAAATGCTTTGTGTGTGTCATCAATCTTGTATCAGAGCCGCGATTAGGAGAACGGAATACAGATATACATTACATATACGTGGTATCGTATCCCGTTTGTGATGCGTCACCGGGTATATGGGGCAGTGCTTCGATACGCCGGTACAACCTGCACTGCACTAACCTTGGTTTGACATCGCGGAGTGTGCGTGCCAGTGGGAAGGTAAGATGGCGGCGGACGGAGATGTGATTCCTGATCATGAAAAAGTACGAATAGTTTCGGACTTTATACTTCACTCGCCACCGGGCGAATTCAACGAGGTTTTTAACGACGTGAGGGTCCTGTTGAACAACGACAACCTGTTGAAGGAGGGTGCGTCCGGGGCATTCGCTCAGTACAACAAGGATCAGCTCACGCCTGTTAAGGTACAATCCATCGACCTCTCTCGATGAACTTTCCACGATTTTTTATGATAGCATCCGGGGCATCGTTTAGTATCGGTGGTAATCGATGATCGCGCTATCCCAGACGGGTACCCGGATCGAATTTCAACGTCTAGTAACGTTCCTAATTGGGCAACACGCGCCCGGAATTTACGACAGGTGACGTTGACTTTACAGTGAAATTGGAGCGCGATAATAATGTTCACCTCGCTGATGTGATTGTTTACCGAAACTATCGTCGAATCGTTAAACGCCAGTGGCTACTTGAAAATCTTCGTGAAATTTCGATTCGAATCGTACGACACAGTAGGGTTAATTTCAGTTACATTTCCTTACTAACTCTAACGGGAAATATTCGGGATTCATGTCTAATTCAATTTTAATTTACATTTTCTGATCTAATGAGTTTTTCCTCATTATAGAATTTCATTAAATTAAAGTTAGATGCTAGCTATATTATATATAGATTGTACAAAGTAAAATGTACTTGTTTCGTTTTTTACTCCAGGTCGAAGGAAGTGAATATCAAGCCCTTATAACTGAACACAATGATTTAGGTGGGCAAAGGTTTTATGATCCCCGGAGTAAGCAGAGTTTTAAATATGACCATCTTAGAAAGGAAGCACAGGATTATGAACCGTACGAACCGGATTCTGTCGCTGAACCTTGGAGGTCAGCTCTTCAAGATGAAATAACAACTTACACTCAAAGTCATTATAGACATGGTGCATGTTCGGTTTTTGGAAAGAGCCCAGGAGGTATCATCATTGTCTAGCCACGGTTCATTGAATTCTAGTAGTTGAACGATAAACGGTAAACAATGAAACGGTACATTTATTTGTCTAGGTAACATTACGTTAACGGCTTGCATAGAAGATCATCAGTTTCAACCTAAAAATTTCTGGAACGGCCGTTGGCGTTCCGTGTGGACTGTAAGTTTTAGTCCGAGTTCCGGTAACGCGGAATTAAGAGGTAGCCTTAAAGTACAAGTTCATTACTACGAAGACGGGAATGTACAGTTGGTCAGTAGCAAAGAAGTAAAAGAAAGTTTACCGATCACGAATGAGAAGCAGACGGCGAAGGAATTAATACGTCTCGTCGAGGAGTCGGAGAATAACTATCAGACAGCTATATCGGAAAATTATCAAACGATGTCGGATACAACGTTCAAGGCATTACGAAGACAATTACCTGTTATGCGGACGAAAATTGACTGGAACAAAATTGTATCGTACAGTATTGGCAAAGAGCTTAAGAGTCAATAGAGAGAAATAGATTTTTTTATATAATATTAAGAGAAATAATTAAAAAAGCGCATTTTGCTGCATGGGTGAAGTCTGGAGGTGTGATGTGCATGGGAGCAAATGTAACGATGCTGTATAAAGTTTGGTTAAACATGTTCGACTGAAACTCATGCATGCCACTCAAGGTTCCTCTGGACCCCTTATTGTATCTTGTTATCAACAGAAAAAAAGGAAGCAATAAATAGGAACATCTTTTTAGCCATTGCTTAAAAAAGAAA